GTTACCTGGAGAAGTAAGAAGCAAAGTGTGGTGGCTAGATCCAGTGTTGAGGCAGAATACAGAGCCATGTCTCATGGAATTGCTGAAATGATGTGGATAAAAAATTTGTTAGGAGAGTTGGGTTTTGCAGTTAACAAACCTATGTCACTCTATTGTGACAACAAGGCTGCTATCAACATTGTTGCTAACCCAGTCCTCCATGATAAAACAAAACATATTGAAGTGGACAAGCGTTTTATTAGAGAAAAACTTGTGAGCGGAGAAGTGTGCACTCCTTATGTTAGTTCAGGGGAACAACTTGCAGACATCTTTTTTTTTATGAATAACTTGCAGACATCTTCACCAAGGGCCTTCAACACGTACGGCATAATAATTTGTGCGACAAGTTGTGCATGATTGACATCCATGTCCCAACTTGAGGGGGAGTGTTGGAATGTTAACTTTATTTATTATGTTTGTATTCTGCTAAGTTAGGGTCCATTTGGACAAATTAAAGCAGTTTTTTCTTTTGTTTTTTATGTTGTAACTTACGTAGGGGCATGAGGGTCCTTTCCCTTCTAATTATGGTCGCCCTATATATATTAATATAAGTTGGCGCCGCCAGCACTGTAGTGGCACTTAGCAGACTCCAAATCTCTCTCTTCTCCTACCTCTCTTCTCCTTTGTTCGGCTGTTAATACCATCTGTTGAAAAACTTTCACAAGCTTAGGAACTTCTTCTCGTGAGTGCATAGGGTACACCCAAGTGAATCGAGAAAAATCATCAATAAAAGAGAGAAAATATTTGTAGCCATTCTCAGTTGGAATATTCACAGGTCCCTAAACATCAGAGTACACAATGTAGAAAGGAAAATCCGATATTTTATTATGTAAAGGAAATGAAGTTCTACAATGCTTGCTTAGTTGACACACTTGACACTGAAAATCATTGACAGAAACAAACTTAAATAAATCTAGAAATAAGTACTTCAAAGACTTAAAAGACATATGACCCAAACGATGGTGCCACAAAAAAACTTGACTATTACTAGACTCACTCGAAGACTGTAAGACTGCAAGACCAACTTTATTCTCTAGCACATAGAGGCCATCAACCATGTTCCCTCTACCAATCGTCCTCCCGAAAGCCAAATCTTAAAAAACACAAGAATCGGGAAGGAAAGTTACTGAGTAGTTCAAGGCATGTGTAATACTACTAATGGATAACAAATTAATGGGCATTTTTGGGACCTGCAAAACATTTGATAATGAGAGACCAAAAGGTAAAGATATAGATCCTCGACCAAAAATGGAGAAGGATCCAACAACTAACCTCACTTTATATTTTCCAAAGAGAAGGATTGAAACAAAGTTGACTTACCAGTCATATGGTTGGAGGCATTAGAGTCAATAATCCACGGGACTCCAGGGTATCAGTAGACACATGAAAAGCAGAGGCTAAGTTACCTGAGGAAGAGGCAAAGGAGGTAGAAAGTGTGGATTTGGAATTTGCTTGTCTGATAGCCCTACCATACTGCTCCAAATGGTCACAGAAGGAGCTGATAATATCCTCCTTGGGATCAAACTAGAGGGACAATCCTAAGACTCATGCGAGGCAAGGTTGGTTGAGGTGAACTTCTTCTGGGTTGGCTTCTTGTTCTGTTCTTGAGCTGATTTCTTGCTGAGTTCTTGTGCCCATTTTGGTTTTCCATGCAGTTCCCAACATGTCTCATGTGTGTGTCAAGACTTATGGCGGTGAGTACACCACAATTTATCCTTATCATCCACCTTTTTCTGATTTTCCCCATTTCTTGTTGAATTGGTGTTACTTCGTACGGTTAAAGCTATGGTCTCCCCCTCAGGAGGATTCATAGCAGACCTCCTACTTTCCTCAGGCTGAACTAAAGCATACACCTCTTGGACAGACAGGAGATCCTTGCTGCCCAAAATTTGTACCCAAATAGGCTCATACATGGAGTTAAGGCCAAGAAGGAAAGCAAACACCCGTTGCTGGGAGACCAACTATTCGTAGGACTTGGCATCTTTCTCACTCTCCCATTCAATGGTTTGGTAGTAGTCCAATTCCTTCCAGACAGATGTGAGAGCAAAGTAGTAGGCTGATAAACTCCTCTCACCCTGCTTGCATGTGGAAGATTCTGCCTGTAGCTGATAAATCCTTGCATAGTGTCTCTTTTCTGAGTATGTTGCCTTGGCTTGATCCCAAATTTCCTTTGCTGTCTCAGCCCACATGAAATTTCGCTTGACAGATGGCAGCATTGAGGTCAAAATCCAAGACATTATCATGCAATTTTCCTGGTCTCACTTATCATAATCAGCAATACCAGCCTTAGGTTCCTTTGTCTTCTCAGTTATATATCCAGCCTTACCCCTGGCAGTAATGTACAGTCGCATCTCCTTGGACCAAGCTAAATAATTTCTGCCGTCCAAGGGGGTAATGGTCATAGGAAAGTTTAGGGTTTCATAACCACCAGATATCCCTCCTTGATGTGAGGTGGTTTCCGAAGTTGCAGAACCTTCAGAATTCATGGGAGCTGAATGTAGGCAGCACACACAAGCTTATTACAGTCCTTACCCAACTAGGCTAACACAAAAAACTGCTAAATCAGAGCACAGACCTTGCTGTCACAGATATTCACAGATCTGATAGGTCCCTTCTTAAGGCAATACGAACTACAGAACACATTTAAAAAAGGCTGCTGCATCTGTCAATCGAACCAGGTCACTTATGACCTACCGAGGTTCCTCAAACATGAAGATTGTTGGGTCTTCACACCCACAAAGAGGGACAAACTCCCTTTATACCATTCAGTCAAGCAGAACAACTTAACCAGTTCTTGGTTTCAACACCAAGAACTAAAAAAAAAAAGTGATTTTAACTTCTGTCCGTATTCAGTCCAGGGGTCTATAGTTTCCAACTCGGGAACAAACAAAAAACCACAGAGAGAGAACACCGACCTCTTAAGTAGACTCAATCAGTCATCCACTGATCTCTGGGTGCCATATGAATCAGTTGCAGTCCAAGAAACAGGGGCAGGAACTGGAATGAACAGTCTTTAGATGGAGCTCACACTTGTCTCTCCCATTCTCAGTCCAGAGGAGCAAGGAAGAGTTTTGAATAGTAGGAGAGGATTTACAGAGCACTGTCCCACTCTGATACCATGTTTTAATCAATAGAACAGTGGGTGAAGAGAAGAGAAGTGGAAGAGAGAAGAAGAGAAGAGAGAAAGAGAATGAGAGAGACTCAAGATGGTGCTAGCGGCGCCAGCCTTTTTTATTATATATACTAGGGCGACCGTACAACTTAAAAGAATGGAGAAAAGACTAAAGTGCCCCTTGTGGCATACACCCAATATTACATCAGATACTTCTAGATATATAACTCTTAAAACATCTTAAATGAAAATTGGCATTTTTTAACAAGTTATATCACAAAAAGATCTACACGTGTTAGAGATTTAATTAAATATGGCAAAAATAAGCCTTGGGAAATGGCATTTAGCTTTAAAAGCTAGATACAAATGTATCATATAAATATATTAAATGGGACACCTACAACTTGTATTTGTGTCCAAGATTTTTGGAAATGACGAGGCATATGCTTGCTTTTTTGCTTGGTAAGCATATCCTTGTTTCAGGGCTGCAAAGGTATCCAATTGTCCATATTCGAATTTGAATTCAATCCCATTGAAGGTGATCTAAATTCGACCTATTTATAATTGGATCAAATATGGATCCACCCCTACCCAATCTGACATAATCTGATTTAATTTGACTAAAATACATATGCTCATATATACTTACAATTTATATCGTATCTATTAGTAAAGTTGACTTGAATGTTTTTACTAAATTGTTATAGGTTCAAGTTTCACACAAGTAATTTTCAATTCATTTTATTCGTGAAATACAATATCAAGGTCATTTCTAGTTCATTTTAATAATAATGTATAATATTTTGATCAGTTTTTCTTTAATTTATTTATACCATTCAATATCTGATTGCAATCCAAATTCAATTTGATTCTGGTATACATCTGATGGATGAGATTCAATTCATATTTGAAAGACAAATCAAATTTGAATTTACCTATATCAGATTCTGTTTGCCTCCCTTATCCATATTTAGGCATCATAGAGTGAATAATAATGTATAATATTTTGATCAGTTTTTCTTTAATTTATTTATACCATTCAATATCTGATTGCAATCCAAATTCAATTTGATTCTGGTATACATCTGATGGATGAGATTCAATTCATATTTGAAAGACAAATCAAATTTGAATTTACCTATATCAGATTCTGTTTGCCTCCCTTATCCATATTTAGGCATTATAGAGTAAAATAAGGCTATATAATGATGATGATGCTATAGCCGACCCCATGTAGTTGGGATAAGGCTTAGATGGTAATAATGATGGTGATGAGAAGGCTAATAAAATGCTCTAAAAGGATTAGGAGGAGGCGAAAAAGAACCTAGGTTCAAGTAGTGACAAAAAAATTAAATAGATCATTCTTCAACAGAAAAAAGTGGAATTGAATATGGCTTAATGGAGGAACATGAATTATTCTACAAACCCTACTTTAGGTTGGATAAGGCAAATGACGATGGTTATGATTTATCATGGTAATATTTGTATCTTGAATATTGGGAAGCCAAATATCATTTCTCTGGACTCCCCCAGGAGGAACATCAGGGACAAGAACCCCAGCCATGATTATGGCTATATCATGTTTCTCATAATGTAGAATATCTTGGCAAGTTTTAACAAAAAGAACACCACAGTGAAGAACTATGAAGTAGTTGAGAGAATGGAAGTGATATTTACCTGAGGTAACGAGATGATGATTTGCCAAGGTGAAGACTGCATACTATCAGATTGGCCAAGGTTTCAGCATCCTTTGCATCCTGAAAGGGGAAAAAGGATAACAAAAAACCATAAATTTATCCTCCTTACAATTTACAAGTTAACAAGCAAAGAAGACAAATCTCTTGCCAACTTTTATGTATAAAAGAATCAGAGAAGAAGAAAACTTGATAGATAAGGAAAAAAAAAACTTGCTTTGTTTAGTGCTTCAAGCAATAGAGACTCAGCTTCATCAAAACGCCCCATGTGCATGCAACAGATAGCCTTCCCATTCAAGATCATCCCTGTCATTGGAAATTTCTCAGAGAAATCTTGGAATATGAGATATGCTTCCTGTATCTTCGAACCACCCTGATGCCATGGAACAATATATAATCAAGAAGATGCCAGTTTCTCAGTTCCAAGGATACTATGTCAAAAGTAACTTTACCACTGCTAAATTTAGCCATGCATTTGCTAGTTGAGTCAGAGTATGGTCCTCATCAATTTGTAGCATGATCTTTAGCTGTTTCTCTGCATAATCAGATCTATGCATCTTAAGGTATATTTGAACATTCAGCGCATGCCTGTATATAATAAAATAGCTTGTATCAAGAATTAAGAAACCAACAAGATCAAACGGTATTTTGTATGACCTTCATTTGATGCAATTATTGGGATTTGGAAGCATTACAGTAGCACAGATAAAGTAATTAATATACAAGTAAACTTAAAAAAGATACATATTTTGTCAATAATTTGTACTTCAGAGTTCTCAGAAGACATCCACGTGACCTCATTTCAAGCAGGGACCAAGAGAATTATTTGCATAGAAGACAAATAGAACTAAAGTTGGTCATAAGTCACAAAATCATTAAGTATTTGGCTAAGCATATTTTAGGTTTACTTTCAAAAGCTCATCTAGACAACTAAATGAGAGGGCTTTACAGTTATGTTATGGAAAAGCAACTATTTACTCTGAACAGAGAACAACCCTTGTACTATCCCCGTGGAAAAAAAAAAAAAAACATCTATTTTTCCAGTACAGCATCAGAAAGAATAAAAGAAATCTCAAAGTAGTTGAAGAAAAGGTGAACAGTGCTTGTTTATCCCAGCTAATAAAGTCAGTGGCTGTAGTTCCTGCTGACCCTATGTGTTTTAATGATAACAAACTCATTGAGAGTACTGATGGTGTGACTAAGTATGCAGCTATCTTGTGAAAGCTTTTATAAGCCTAAACTGAATAAGTATGCTAACAAAGATGAAAAAGTGGAAGCTTTGCTGAGTCAATTGCCTGAGCCTCATGATTTTATCACCATCACCAAATCTCTCCAACCGAGGAAGTTCCAACAAATCAAGCATGACAAGGCTACCAAAGAACTCAAAGAATTAGAGTTGCTCTAATTGGTTATCTGCTACAACAACTCACTAAGGAGGAAGACTATATCAAGTTGTGCAAAATTGTGTTAGTCTTTGTGGTTTATAGTCCTGACCACAAGGGATTTCTTTGTTATGATCCCGAAGCCTGTCGTATTAGGATTTCTCACAATGTCATCTTTCTTGAGCACATGTCTTTCTTTGAGCACATTGTTAAATTTCCTGCTCCTTCTGTTTCTTTATTGAACAACTTTGACTCTACAAATCCTCCAAATGCTCCGACATCACCCGTGCAGCAACTTCAGACTTACTCCAGAAAACAATGGTCTACATCAACTCCTATGCCCCTTCCATCTTCTCCGACATCAGATCAAGGTTCAAAATTTCGTCACTTATTGGCCCATATCGGCCGATATGTATGGTATCGGGGGCACCCCGATACGCCCCTACAGAGGGTGTACCGGGGTTTTGACCGGTTCAGGGGTGGAGGAACCTTAAACCAGCCCCCCTGAACCGGATTTGAAAAAAAAAATAACAAAAAAGTAAAAAAAAAAGGTCTAATACTGCCCAATACGCCCCTACCGGCATATCAAGCATATCGATATTTAGAACCTTGCATCAGATGTTGATCCAATTACCTCCAAGCTCTTCTACATGACATACCACAGGAGTCACCACCATCGGTTCTTCTCGTTGCAGACAATGTCAATGCAATCAAAATTGCTTCTAATCCTGTCTCCCATGAGCGCACAAAGCACAATGAAGTTGATTGCCACTTCATTCGCGATCTTCTTCAAGATGGCACTATTTCTCTTCCCCACGTGTCCTCTGGCCTCCAATTTGCTGATCTTCTGACAAAGGCGATGACTCGGGCATGACATCTATTTCTTATGGACAAACTGATGCTCATTCCTTGGCATCAGTTTGAGGGGGAGTGTAGAGATAAAGAGAGTTAGCCGAGGAGGCTATTTTTGTAACTTTACTTCTTGTTGTATTTTATTTTTCTTGTGCACTATTCCTTTTGTACACTAAGGACTTTTTGGTCCTTTCACAGATTAATATAAATATCTTTTCTTAGGGTGTTGATCAGTCTATTTGACACACCCACAAATCTGTTGTTGTCTCTTTCTTCCTCTGGTTTTATAGACTCAGATCAGACTCTGACATTGGCTTCCATATCCCATTTCTTTGATTCTTGGATAAGAACCACCTCTGGTTTTTCCCTTCTCAGAACATCCTGAACCATTCTTATTTATCAAGAAAAATATCCTTAACCATTCTTCTTTTCCTTGCACCTCCTAAGCCCCTAATATTCCAACAAACCATTTCATTTATAAACCCTTTCTCTCCCTTGCTTCTCTTCTATGCTGTTCTGTTCTGTTCTGATCATCTTCCTTCTCCCTTCCTATTCCTTCCACTATAAACCTTATCAAAATTTATATCACACTTAAATCTTTCAACTTCAGTCCTCTTACTCCTGCCTTTTCCTTTCATTTCTCCTTTCTTTCTAGTACAGACCATGGCCTCCTTATTTTCATTTCCAACCCCAAACTTTCAAAAAAAAAAATCCTTCACCATATCTCCTATCTCAATTTCATTAAGCTGCTCCGTTGGGCCTATACCTTGGTTCTCAGTTTCCATCCTTGGTTGAGAAGTGTTACCCTCCTTAACCAAGTCACCTTCCTCCAAGCTATTAAGTTTTATTTTATCAATTGCCAAATTAACTCCCCCAATTGTCCATCTTCATCCTTTCTATGTTACTTAGAGACAGCCTCCCTGTATGTGCAGAGGTAAGACTGCGTACATCTATCCCTCCCCAGACCCTGCATTGGCAGGAACCTCATGCACTGGGCTGCACTTTTTATCCTTTCTGTGTTAAGCTATTACATTTTATTTTATCAATTCCACATTAACTTCCCCAATTTTCCATCTTCATCCTTTCTACTCACAGACTTTCCTTTCCTTTCACTATCATAGACCATGGTGGCTTTATGTGGTGGTAGGTTCCGGATTATCTGCAATGCAAACATCAGAAGGAGAAAAATCATACACAAAAATTAAGTACTCATTACCTCAGGACTCGTGATACAGGCAGATAGGGAAAACAATAATGGTGTTCACTAGCTGGTCACCCACTTGCATTGCTGCCCAAAACAAAAAGGGAAGCACCAATAGACATGGCCCATGTAGGTTTTCAGAGATGAATATGTTAGATGCTCATTCTACATGGTTGTCAAGACATCTCCCAGGCAACAAGGTACAATAGGTTGGCACCTTGCCCAAATTTCGTGGCTTGTTTATAAAAGCCAATGACATAGGTGACAAAAATCATAGGCACCTTATTGTAATATTATTACTATAGCTACATATTAGTATTATGTTTGTTAATAAATTCTATAAGACTTTACCATTGAAACATAAGAGATCCAAGGGTTTTAAGAAGAGATTAATAAAAAAAAAAAGAGAAGGATAAAGAGTTTTCTTCTTTTTTTTCACAATTTCTCTCTCTTACATTAAATGGAAAAGGACTTTGCTATTTTTTATTTCCCTTTCTGTTTACTCTCTCATAAAGCTTTTTTATTATGATAAAATAATAGCCTTTTTTAGTTCCTGTTAATTTTTTAGCATGAAATTGCTCTATTAAATACTTATTATTTTATAGTGTTGTGTTTAAAATATTAAATTTGATTGATTTAAAATGCAATTGTCTTCCCAAGAAATACAAGAAGGTTTACAAGAGAAGGGGTAGCAGTCTTACAAAGAGGACAGTCGATGATGATGCTGGTAAGGATTCCTGGGTTGATTCTAATCCGGATAAGCAATCGGGGACTCGATAGCAGGAGGAAGCAATAAAGAACTTTTCTGAGTCCACTGTAAGAGATTGCGATAAAAACATTGAGAGGAAGGTGGAGGATTCAGGAAGTATCTCCATTCAGGAAGCGGCTAAAAAAAGATGTAGAGATTGGCAAAAGTCTGGATCTGTTTTTCTGGGATGGCAAGGAATTTGCTAGAAAAGCCTTTGAAGAGTTTGAGAGGAAGAAGATAGAAGAAACTCTGAAGAAAAAGGACAAGGGAGGTGAGAAGTGGGATGAAGATGACGACGGTCAGGAGAGGTTTGAAGAGGAAGATTAGGGCCCTGGTCCCACTAGGATTGCTGTTGCTCGTATCACAGTCGGATCAGTAGTGAAAGCTGTCCAGTTTGATTTCTAGAGGTGTTATCCTTTTTTTTATTTTTGAGTCTTGTAGTTGGTGGAGGTTCTAAGTCAGCAGTCATGTTTTCTCTCAGGTGATTTCTTATCACCCTCCTTATGTATTCTTCTTTTTATTTTACTTTTCAAAAAAAATGCTATTGTCTTCTAGAAAAAATGATTTGCTATATCTTGAGAGGAACACCAATGTTATTAGAAAGGAATACTTATATTTTTTCAATTTAAATGCATGCTTATTGGTATAAAAAATGAAGGAACCAATGTAGAATTTAGTTACTGTTTGTAAAATTCTATCATTTAGGCAACTAGGTGCACCACCATTGCTTACAATATTTTGAATGCCTTGACAACCATGATAAGGCCCTTATGATAGTTAAGCCTACAACTCTACATTTTAGGTCCCAAAACAATGCATGTCAATCTGCAGCATTGGTTTAATTTGGAAAAAAAAAATCCAGTAAGTAAAAATTTACCATAAAACAAAAAAAAAAACTAAAAAAATACAAAGAACTCATTGAACCCATGAATCTTATAGAAGTAACCATAATCACCATATTTGATGAAGCCAATCTTACTCTAGCAGCATATATGAAGACCTAAAATAACATATCATAAAAACAGGGCCTGAAGGGTGGGCAAAAAGATTGATCAGTGATAGGGAAAGAAAATAAAACAGTGTACATGTTTGGGAATATCAAGGGTGAAGAGGGAACAACAAAAAGACAAAATTGAGGGTGACCATACATAAAAAGAAACAATCTCATCATAAGCTTGAGATGTCACAGTAGAATAATTCACATGCACTAACAATAAATAGAAGATAAAAAAAGAAAAAAATAATGAATCCTAGTAAAAACCATCTGAAGCCTTAGGCAGTATGCAGTAGGCATTACATCAAATAGGTCTGATCATTGGCTTCCAAATGGAAAACCTCATTTATATGGTTCCCTCATCAGACAACTGCTAACAGGCTTTGCCAAGGGAAGCGTTTTGAGTATAGACTACTGACTTGTATTCAAAAGGTTGAAGCTACCTTGCCAGGTTTTGTATTCATGATGCATTTTGTGCAATCTCCACTTGATTCTTTCAGTCTCTTTTGAATGGTTGTTCTGTCAGATCATTGTAGGGATTGAAGTTTCTAAATCCTCTTCTATGTGACCTTATTGGAGAGAGTTGATAATCACGAAACTGCCTTTACATCATGTAGAATTTAAACAACCATCGCTACCAATAGTAGATATATTTGATGGCTCCATATGCCCTTATCATCTTAGCTCTACAATTACTCACATTATCATCTGAGCCTCAATGGTTTGAATTACTATTATTGTTCTTCTATGTTCCAACCAGTGCTCACAAGACATAAAATTTTCATAGACAGGAAGATACAATAATAGGGAAGATAGAATGTCTCACCATAAACCATGTCTTGCTAACAAGAATCACACTTACTACCACCAGGGAAATTAAATAAATGAACATGTGAACAAAATGAACAGTTTTAAAGAATAAAGCAACGGAAAATAAGACAGAAAATAAAATTTTAGTACCATTTCTGTTCAAATTCTTCCAAAACATCATTCTAAAAAATACCAAGAAAAATAGCAATAATTCATGTGGTCATGGTCATGCATGGAGAAATTGCCCGTGTTAGAAAAATCACAGCAGTAAGCGGCATAAATAAGGCTAAATAAGACTAACAGTTCCATAGTTCCTCCAGCGTTAGTATGTTTCAGAGCTTCATTGTAGTCCTGCTCATGCATGTATATAATTCCTGCAATTAGCCGTAAGGTAGGGTTGCTTCCAATGGCGGCATCTTTTAACAGCTCTTGAAGCCTCAAAATTGTATTTTCCTGCTCAATTCGTAACGAATATTCACTATCTAGTAATCCGTTTCAAATGCCATAGTCCATTGTAATAAGAATAAGTGATATTGATCAAAATTGTAAAGCCAAAGTTCTACTCAATAAAAAATATTAAAAAGATGCATTAAAGAAGAGAGAGAGAGAGAAAAAAAAAGAGAGAGAGAGATCACGAGTCCATTGATAGATACAGTCAAAAACACTAGTTTCCATGATTTGAACAATTATTAATTGGGATCAACTTTCAGGCCAAATTGCATTACAAAAATGTTTCAAAATCTCTAGTTCTTAATATGTGTGATGGATTGGATGAAGGAACCGACCTTGTTTTCGGAACCAGAGAGATACAAAGCGAGCAATTTGACCACCTGCAGAGGCGTTGGCGCAGATGAACCGATCTCATTGATCACGAGCTACACACAGATTCAAACATAAAAGTGGAAAAACACTGACACATTGAAAGCCAAAATTGCCCAAATTTTCAAGTAACTGCAATAGTTTGGAGACAGAGGAGAGAAATAACCTGATAACTTCCAAGAGCAATGTAAGACCTGTAAACGAGGCAGTCTTTCTCGACAGCGTCATCTGAAGGGAGATGGGGAATATCACTGTTATTAATGGTAGCCTGGTAGGCTCCCAAATAGAAGTTGTTTCGGAGTGCAAAGAGATGGTCTGGAGCGGCCATGGCTGATGTGCTTTCTTCTTTGGCAGATCAGAAGTCTTAACCAACAGAGAGGTAGAGATTTGCTGGAGTTACAGTTGGCTGGGCATTGCGAATTTGTAATTCGTGTGCGAGAGATGGTGGTAAGTTACAATGCTTATGGGTACATCCTCGAAGATACGCACTACCAGTCAGTACCAATCCTGGACCGTTGGATGTAGTTCCGTGGTGGGGCAGTGGAATTGAATAATGAGATGGAAAATCGTTCGTCCGAATGACCTGATGGTCAAGGTTTAGGGATGGCAATCCATTCCTGTGGGGATCCGTCTCGAATGGGGCAAGGATGGGGATGATATTCCCTTCGCAGGGACAGGGAGAGCACTTCCCACTTCGTGGGATCCCCACTAATATATATGTATATATGTATCTATACGTTATATATGTAAATATATAAACATACATCTATATATTAATATTTTTTAAAATATGGTTGAATATGTTCTAATATGTAAATGTTAATTATTTTATTTTTATTTTTTAAAATAAAATAAAAAACAAAAATAAAATGGTTAGCATTATAAAGAATCACGGGGAATGGGGATCCCCATAGGGATAGGGATCCCCAGGGGGATGGGGATGGGGATGGGGGTAACCTTGTCCCCATTAGCGGGGACGAGGACGAGGATGGGGATTTTCATAGGGACGAGGATGGGGAGAGGCTCCCCGTTGCCATTCCTACTAGGGTTGCAACTTGGCTAGGTTGGTTAGGCAGAATTAAATCTGACCGGTTAATCCAACCGTGATATATTGAACCGTCATCCTAAACCCTAAACCGACCAGAGGACTTCTTGATACTTTTTTTTGACAGATAAATCACTATATTAACTGGGAGGAATATATACATAATTTGTTTCATCTGGAATTCCTGGAGGATAATTATCAAATATAAAAGGGAAATTGTCAAAAACTCACCATGAGTTTTCAACATTTCTCTTAAACTCACCACAACTTTTCAAAACGTCTAAAACTCAACATGTCATAAGTTTTTTATTTTCCAAAACTCACATTCCGTTAGTGCACTGTCAATGTTTCTTAACAAAGGGGTCCATGTCAGCATAAAAAACATTTTTTATGACTAAATCACCCTTAAATGGCAAGTTAGAGGAAAAGGATCTTTTTCATTTTTCATTTTTCTTTACATTTTTATATTTTCTACCATCTATAAAATTTCCTGTATTTTTTGTTATTTATTTGCAATTTCTGTGTTTTTTCTACAATTTTTATTTTCTGATTTTGTTTTTCAATTTCTATAGTTTCTATAATTTGAAAATAATTTTTTATTTTGTGTGCAATTTCTATAATTTTTTTATATTTTTTGTAATTTATGTATTTTATATTTGAAAATATTTTTTTTAACTTTTTCCTTTTTTTTCATGTCTAAATATTAAAATATATGTATATATTTTATATTTTTCTATGAAGGTTAAAATGGTAATATATTAACAGTCGTTAGTCTCTTTAACGCCAAGTTAATGACGATGTGAGTTTTAGACATTTTAAAAAACTGTGGTGAGTTTAAGAGAAATGCTAAAAACTTATGGTGAGTTTTTGACAATTTCTCAACAAAATGATATTGCCTATGATTCTTGTTTTGTTGTGCTACTTTATGTGCAGGAATATTAAAGTTGGTCGCCATCAAAAGCCTAAGGCACGACAATGGAGATAAGTTCGGTCCTGAATAGCATGAATCACCAGTTGTGAGTCCGAGCAAATTAGCATATTATATGTGGACATTGGAGAGTTTGGTGAAGCCCCTGAATAGCAAAAAGTTCAGCCTCTTCTATTGAGTAAGCTTCTTTCTTCTTACTACAATACATAGACAATCTAGATTTGGCGATAACACAATATAGCCAAAACTAAATGTAGTTTGATTAATTTTATCAACATTTGTAAATATGATACAGTTTGTACTCAAATTTAGAGTAAGAGGAAGTTTTGGAGGAAGGGTCTGAGTTGTATTTGGTTAATCTTGATAAAAGCATAGGTTGTCAAAAATATTGTTAATTTTCCTAAGAATCCAATGATTAGTCAATATCCTTTCTTGAAAGCATTTTTCATTTATGGAAAACCAAATATAGTAAATAGCCACAAGATACCAACTTAGAATTTGTGTTAACATAACTTTATCATGAAAAATATTTGCTAATGCATTCATGCAATTAATCCAAGAGGAGTGAAAAATAGTATTCACATTAATATTCCAAGGTGCAGCAAACAGGATTGGTTGAGTTAGAGGACATTCAAAAACAAATGATTAATTGTTTCCACATTATTTTGACACAAAACACAACTCCGGTTTTGAGATATATGCAAAATTTTGTCCTTTACTAGAATGAATTCCTGAACCACTCTCCAAAAGAAAAGTTGGTAGCGAGGAGGAATTGGAAGACGCCAAATCCATATTCGGCATAAAGTATGGTTATCTGGAGGCATCGTTGAATTAGAAAGAATTAGGTTTTTGTGGGCTTTCTGGGAATAAAATTTACCTAAAGAGTTTATAGTCCAAATGCAAGAGATATAAGTATCTGCTGGGAGAATGGGAGTATTTAGAACCTTAAAATCTTAGGAAGATCTCCTACCCATAAGAATCATACTATGAAGCTGAATATTGCCTTTCGGACCCAAAAGAAGATGTGATGTTGCATAACTTGAATGGAGGACAATGACACTTGAGACAACTAAAACTATACTATCAAACAGTAAATCTATGTTGTAGATGGTATTAAAACAAGACTTTAATGCTCAGTAAGATTGTTCATTGAATTGTTGCATGATTCAAATGACTTTAGTTTTTTATGCTTAACATTATGATCGGTAAGTTTCTTTAGTCATGCTCTTGTCAATTTTGTTTAGTCTCAAGTTTTTTAGCTCTTTCCCGGTCCCCTTGGGTGTAGGTTGGAGTGTGAGTTGTCCTCTCTGTAGAGTGGTTTTTTTCCCCTCTACGGGGTTCTTTAGGGTCTGTTTGATTGCTGAGAAAATTGGACTGAGAAAAGATGGGATGAGAAAAGGAAAATTTATTTTCTCAATTAGATATAATGTGTTTGTTTGCTGAGAAAAATTTTGTGAGAAAATCCACTTTCTAGTGTTTGTTTTGCAAGAAAATTTTTTTGAGTTGATTGTCGCCAGCAATCAGAGACAGAACTTCGGATCGCCGCTAGCAAGATTGGATCCAGAAATCCGAAATTGCTAGAGATTTCAACTGTCCTGAGATGGCCGGCAACCATTGAGACACGAAATTAACCGTCGTGAGGTAGAGATCGTTGGATTCGTCGTCAGCGTCGGCGTCGGGTATCCCCAAAATGGTTTTTCAACGCCAATGGACTACCTGGAGACAGAACGGGAAAAAAATAAAAAGCCAAATGGAATGATGGAATCAATTGACATGTACAAAGGGGAAAAATCATGTAATGTTGTAGCAGCCTAGCAGGAGAAAAGATAGGCATATGTCTAATTTCAAATTATGAGAAATAGAGATGAAAAAGAAAGAAATGTTGACTAAATGTTTCTTTCAAGGAGAAGATCAGCTAGTTGCATCATATACTATCCTAGAGTACCAACGATAAATGAAATTCAGGAGAACTTTGTCAAAAAGCAAGCAATCCACCACAAAGGAAATGTGTATAATAGTCCAAGTTTTACAAATCAAAATGAATCAATTATATAATCCAAGATGACAAATACCAAGTAGGAAAAAGTGAAAAAAAAATTACATACTCTGTTCCTTAAAAAATCCTTCTTGTTCTTTTTTCTTTTGCTTACTCTGTTAAAATCTCAATATAAAAACTCATTCTTCATCGAAAATAGAAAAAAGTTAGAGTTAAATCAAATTTCACAAGGAAAAGTATAAAGAACAAAGTAGAATGATTTTTTAAGCCATCATCACCTACAACATTAATGAAAAACAAGAATAACAGATTAATGAATCTAAGAACTGAGTTCCGATATTTTCACGAAAGAAATAAAATTTTCTATAAGAACTTTACTATGAAAAAATTCTAGATGAACTAAATTGAWGAAAACTTATCATCATTAGGCACATTGCAGCATTGCAAACAAATGGCTGGTCTTGATATCAATTGGGAGAGGACCAGCATAATAATAAAATAAAATTTCCTACTCCTGATTTGTTAATGTTGAAAATCAAATAACCTTTTGACAATGAGGATTATTAACTCTAAATGAGAAGGAAGTAATTAATTCTTCAAAGTTAATAATGAGAAATCAATACTCTATTTGCAACAGAACAAACATAAGATAATAGATCGCCAACAGTAAGGAGAGAATRCTTGAAGAACATAAACAGCATCAACAACATTTTAGCCTTTTCTTTATGGTAGAACAATGACCTGAACCAACTGTGGACCAGCTAACTTMAAAAATGTAGCATTTGTCTGTGCTGCACATGCACGAGTCAATCAAGTATGACAATGTAGATCCATGAAGCTCAAGTAAATGGCATATGAAATTTCAAGAAAAATATCAACATAACTGAAAGCAAA